TAGTGTTTTTCGATCTGGCTTTTTAGAAGTTCCATTGGAACATGCTAGTGTTGTGTCACTAGTTGCATACTCCACTTGTCTTTTATATTGCAGTTTGAGCTTTTGAATGTTAATGAGGATTTTAGAATCTGTAGGTGATATGGATTGAGAATGATGCGCATAATAAGGTTCCATTTAAGACTTACTATCACATCTTGTTGGATCTCATGTCCCAATTTGTTATAGTGGGAAAATGATCACCATTCGTGGAAGCCTTATGAGAGAAAATGTCAATTTCCTACCAATAGGGGCCAATCCCCAAAAATATATATTTTTAAAATTATTATATACAAAATAATTAGCTGAAAAAAAAGTTGTATCAGCTTGATTTTATATAATTTTTTAATTTTTTCGCTACATTTTTTTAAAAAAATTACCCAACTATTTATGATTAACTAAATGCATTTTTCTAATGAACCAACAAGAAAATAAAGTAATTATTTTTTCAACTGACCCTAACGAATGTCACTTTCCCTTAGAAAGAGGTTTAGCTATCAAACTTCGCATCATAATATTATTTGAATCGATTGGGAGAATAAGAAAACAAATTTGCTCTTCATGAATAATATTCTATGTGTACTAGGATATTCCAACTATCTTAGTGATCTCTTATGATGTAAATGAAATGATATGAATTATTTGATAATATTTGAATATTTTTAATCCATACAACAATAGTAAATTCATTAAAAATCTTCATACTAACTTAATATTAATAGCAAGTCAATTCTTTTAAACGAGTAATAATTTTAGTATATTTTCAGGGTATAAAGTACAATAATATATTAAGGAAAATCAAACGTATACTTATGTAATGGAGATAACGCGGCATCACGGTGCATAATATTCTGTTCACAAGGATAATCTTTGACACATGAATTGCCAATGTGTGAGGACCATGAAATGAATCTTTTGTCATCGAGGGAAAGACAAGAAGGGTCAAAAATAGTGTGTGAATGTAACATCTTGATGAGAGTAGAAAGATAATTGCAACCCATGTCAAAGCCAGAAGTCCATAAAAGATGGCAGAACAACATTTACATTTTCAAAGACTATGTAATGAAGGGGTATGCGCCAGAAGAGAACTGCAAGTGAAAGAGAAAGAGAGAGAGAATTCAAACCCTTTTGATTAGCTCCACTTCCACAAGTCATTTTCTTTGAATGATTTTGTACTTTATAGTTTTACCAAACAAGTGAGAATTCTTCCATTTCTTTAGCTCCTAAAAAATAGGGTAATATTATAATAAGGATAATTTTACTCATACGCGTTTTGATGCTTCTATACATTAGAGGTTGCACTTAATGTTCTGCAAGGTCTGTATGCAAGCTGTGATGATCAATCTTCAAAATTAAAACGACGGTGGTTTCCAGCAATCCGCATAGTTTATTAACAATTCTTAATACTCTCAACCTGCCGTCATTTCAAGTGAAAATGTAATACTTTGTGTGTGTGTTAAAATATAGACTCTTCTTAATAATACTTTTTTTTTTCACACTCATAAATGGTAAAGGTTATGTTTGAGGCTGAGTACCTAACGAAAATAATAATCTTTTTATAAATTAAAGTCAACTTATGCATAACATTTTTAATAATTTAATTGAAAAAACTTTTAAACCATGAGAATGATTTTTTTTTCCTATAAGTAAAGTTCACCTAAACTAAACCTAAATCTAGCAGTGTATTTGAGAAATTTAAGTCCCCTATTCACTCAAACCTAACATGTTGACTAGAAAGAATCATATATATATATATTAGAGCACATAAAAATTTATCGATAAATTATTTTTTCTTACATTAAATAATTTTTAAAGATTTATCATGAAATCTTAATTTCTAAAAAAAAATAACGAGAACAAAATTAACATTGCATATAAAGTTTTCCAGTGAGAAATAATGGTTAGGTAAAGATTTTCTTAAAATAATTTGACTTTAGTATTAAAATCGATCTTTTAACATTACATTTAAACTTTATAATAGCAGTTCACTTTTATTATAACCAGCCACTATTTATAAAATTAGGTTTTCTCTTAAATCATTTAATAGGTTAACATTACAACACACTTTGACGTACGAAAAGAAAGGATCTTATTGATAAATATCTCAATAACACAGGTTAAACAATACAACACAAATATATTTAAAAATTTTAAAAACATCTGACAATGCTCGTTAACGTTTACTTGAAGATAAATATTCTATTGTTTTTTTTAATTGTTCATTTTAAAGGACAATTCTCCAATTTTTGATCAAGTATAATGAATTAATTCAATTCTTAAATTAACACACCATTTAATTTATTTCTAAAAATTATATAAATATTATTTTAAATTTAAATTTATTAAATAAATATATTTTAATTCTTAACTTTATCACATGATAATTATTTTAGTTCTTAAAATTTTAAAAATTAAATTTATAATTTTAAATATTAAATGCATTAATACTAATAATTATAGAGATTAATTTAGTATATTATTTTAATAATAAATAGATATTACTTAACTTGCACATCCATCATGAGAAATGTAAACAAAATATTATTAACAATAACAAATTTTTTTTAATTTACAATTGTGATTCACGTTTCAACTGCGAGAAAGCCAAGACTCGCAAGTTTGACTCAGGCGATCGAGTGAGTACTTGCCGACGACTTTAAGATGAGTTTGAATCATCCTTTGACTTGCTGGGTGTACGGATAGCGTTTTACGCGTTCTCACTTCTCATTATTGGAATAGCGTTACATTATTTATCGTATTTTAATTAAAATACTTTCTGGAATTATTGTTTTTTAAAACAATACTTACTATAAATTAAAAAAAATATTGAAAACAATTTTTTTTTATCCAAAAAGTCTAAAGTAACGTTAAAGAATTGATTAAAAAAAAAAAGATCAGACACACGTAAGCACAATGAGATGTTATACTGAGGAACATTAATTTAAACAACTGAAATTGATCATATTACTGAATAATTTCATATGAATTCTATTGGTGTACAATTTATTGCATTGAAATGATTATTATAAAAATAAAAAATGATTAATCTTTTTGATGGCTTGATCTTAAATAAGAATGATGTGAACAACTTTTGAAGGAAATTGTAATCTTGGCTTGCAAAGAAGACGTGCTGGGTGTCATGAGTAACGTAGACAATCGTATATCTTGGTATGTTGGTATTGTTCAAAAGGATGATTATCAAACTGCAATTAATTATTAAGTTTTAGTGAGTCCTACCTTCATAACCAAGGCTTAAAAAACTCTCCAAAGGCACCAGAGCATTTATAATTACCAAGGAGGCAAAACTATTATCATTCATTATTATTGTTCTGCTAACAAAATGCTGTGCGTGTACATATACAACTATAACATATTCTTTATCTCTATAAAATTTCTAAGAAATACAAGTTCATTCACGTCCTTTTATATTTGAATTTTTTTTTTGTTTTTTATCTATTTTAATCTACCTTAGTGTAATGTATAAGTCTATCATTGGAGAAATTTTCTGCATATACAAGCAAAATCATTTATATTGAAATGATTGTTTTTAAATATATAATTCATAAATATTTTAAGGTCTAAAACAAAAAATTATTATATTTCTAAGCTTAAAAAATATATTCCTTTAAATAGAGGATGCTTGAATGATGCCTCATTAAAGTTTCTGGCGTATGTCGGATCTTCTTGTTGAAACTTATTACATTATACTAATATATATGTATCCGTTAATTACATGTAATAATTTTTTATTAAAATTTATAAAATCCAATTTAAATAATCGTATAAATAATAACATTTTACATAAACACATTATATATTATTAAGTTTGATTTTTTATCTATGTATTGTTACTAGTAACTCTGCGAGTCGATCTTTTAGTTGCGTATAAATTGATGGATGGTAGTATAAAAAATTATTAATTGATTAAAACATACAGTAATTATAATAAATTATAATATGAATATATGATATATGATTAGCCTTATTATGAGTATATCTAATAAATTTTTTAATTTTATATATATATATATATATATATATATATATATATATATTATCTTAAATGTATAATATGATGTATGGTTGGACCCACATGTCACTGTTACTCGTATCCTATGGTTTTAAACATTGTAAGGCATTAATCTTTATACTCATGCCCAACCAATCCATCATAATTAATTATACATATACTGTATATACAGTTCTTATCGCAAGTGTCAAAGTCAGTAACTTTTTATTTATATAATTCTTTCTAAAACTAGTACTTATGCATAATTTCTCATAAATTTTAAATTATTTTTTAATTTTCTTGTTTTTAAAATAAGACATGTATAGTAACATTTATATAAATTTTGCTAGAATATATCAATATTTATAAATAATAAATAAATAGCATATATATATATATATACACACACTAATTTATCAAAATTAATAAAAATGGTTACTATATATAGTCTACCCTCAAACATTAAATGGATATATTTTTTTAATAATTTTTTTTTGAATTCCTTGAACTGTATCTTTACTGCGTAGATTAACATTTGCCAAATTGTAACTATATAAAGCATGGAAAAAGACATGTCTACCGTTGGACTTGGAACTATTCGACTTTTTGTTTTTATTTACCCAATAGTAATTTTGAGCTGTTCAGCTTCTGCCTTCAAAATATTGCAAATGGGAAGAGTCAGATTTCTTCAAAGTAAAAATATATATATTTTTTGGCACATGTCGTTGCCAATAAAAAGAAGGCGACGAAAGTAATTAACAAAAGATGAATAAGGAACCATATGTTTGGGAAATATAATTTATATACCTAAGTTTTCGCTAAACTAAAGTGAAGAAGACAACTACTTTTTCCATATTTTTAGGATTACCACAACTAGTAGAATAAAAAATTCTTCATTTAAATTAATTTTTCCCTTATTTTAATGCAGTATTTTTTTCATTTAAATTTTATTCTTCAAGATAAAATTTCATTTAATTGAAAATAAAATCTTTAAAACAAACAAGAAACCAGCACCTTTCCACTACCATATACATATATCTTATCCCTTTATTATAAGGTGAAAAGAAAGGGAGAAAAAAGTGGATAATGATAAATAAACAAGACTTTGGGTTCCCTTTGAATCCTGATTTGCTATTTTATTCTTTGCAACAACTTACAAACACATTACAAATAAGTAGTGATTGAAGGGAGAAAAAATATTTCAAATCAAAACAAGCCATAGGCCCAAGATTCTGAATCCATGATCATTCTTGGGTGCTGATTAAGAGGAGCGTCAAATACTTGCTTTCTGTCACAATCATCATCATCATTAATAAGCAAATTCCAACTTCTAATGAAATCATCATCCCACAAGGCCATGCTGCTATTGCTGGTTTCATTGTTATTGTCAATATTATTATCATTGTAATTATCAGACCACTCAAAATCTGGGAGCAGCAAATCTTCAAGGAAGTTTGATGAATTTGAAGAAGAAGATGATGATGATGTAGTGGCTGATGAAGTGGAAGGAGCACAGGGAATTATAATCTCATTGGGTTCAATTATTGGAACTTCATCTGTGCAGAACCCATTCATTAGTTCGATCGAGTCAAATAAGGGTGTCATAATTTGGTCTTCCTCCTTAGCTTCAGTGATGGTTGATGATTCAAATGAAGTTTCAGGCTTCTCTGACTCTTTATTTTGGTCAATTTTAGGCTCAAATTTGGGTTCAAGCTCAGCTTGCAAAGATTGTGGTTGATGCTGTTCTTGCGATTGTTGATGGTGGTGTTGTTCTGGTTGTTGGGCTTGAGTTTGCTCAGTTGTATTAGAGAGTGACTTGTGAGTAACAGGGTCAATTCCCATTTTCTTTAGCTTCTTCTTTATGTGGGTATTCCAGTGGTTTTTTATCTCATTATCAGTTCTTCCAGGGAGATGAGAAGCAATCTTAGACCATCTGCATAAGAAAAAAAGGGAAGAGATTAAAAAAAAAGACGAGTAATCAATAAAGGAACCCCAATTAATTAAAAAATAAAAAAAACATAATTCCATCATAAGGTCCATGAAGAGAAAATAACTTTTATGTCCACTAAAAACTAGAAAGGTATATTTTACATGTCATGCAAATTACAAAATCAGAAAATTTGCCCATTAGACAAACTTCGCCTTCTTTTCTATATTAATGATTCCCATTTGCAGTCAACTTTAATAGTTCCTTTTCTTCAAAATTATAAAAACTAAGAAAATAGACTTGGTGTCCGCAATTTATACACGTCTTCTTCTCCTTGCAGGTATGTGATATTATGGGACCATGTCTTCTTTTCTGACGAATAAACAAATAACAACTTGAGGGCATGTATTACAGAAATGATAGCTTTGATTAAGTTATTGCTTTTGGTATGATTGAGAGATCTTAACCTACTTTTATTTAAATCACTTTCTTAGATAAACTTAGTCTAATATTTCAATATGCCAGTTATTTAATCAATAAAAAAAATGTTAAGCAAGGAATAGCTAAGCATGCAAAACAGGGGAAACAGGGTTGTTGGGGAAAGAACCTATTGCCAAGTTGAGCATGAAGATCAATGACCATTTTCTCTTCATATTCTGATAGAAGACCTCTCTTTAGGTCTGGTCTCAAGTAGTTTGTCCATCTCAGCCTGCAACTTTTCCCACACCTTAACAACCCTGCATGAAGCAATAACCAGATTTGCTAAATTTTAATTTCACCGTAGTTGAATTAAAAATGCAAATGAACTTGAGGCTTTATCAATAAAGTTTCTGGTAATTAAAATGCTTAAATATTTGTAAAAATCATGTTTAAATGGGTAAAAGGAATGTGTCAAATTTGAATGCTTGCTTTCATTGTCTTTGAATGGGAACAAAATGGAAAGAAAATGAGCAAAGCAAGAAGCTCAATTGGGAAGAAAGACCAAAACCCATGAACCAAAATGCAAAATTTCATAAACCATTTTAATGATTTTTTTTTTTTCCTTTCCAAAGTGCTATATAAGCATGTGATTACTCTTAACAAAACCATTTTAGCTACTCCCATTGAGGAAATGAGTGGCTACAATCCCAAGGACTAATATTAGACCGTAGAATTGAAGACATGCACCAAAAGAAGGAGCAATGAAACTAGACCTGCTAGCTTAGGAACAGCTCTCCAACAGCATTGGCCATTAGTGAGGATAAAGTTGATGAGTTTCTTGTCCTCCTCAGCAGTCCATGGCCCCTTCTTCAACCCAACTTTGTCACAGCAAGGTTGCCTTCCCATTTTTTGTTTAACAAAACTAAAATGCCAACAAAGTGGAGGGTTCAAATTGATATTGATATAGACTAGAGAGAGAGAGAGAGAGAGAGAGAGAGAGAGGGAGACTTAGAGTTCCAAAGAATATGCACATAACAAGGTGGGATAGAGCACCACCACCTACTTATTTATATATAAAATTCAACCCCCTCTAAACTCCAAAGTCCTCAAAACCCACTACCACAATTTGTCATTTATTTTGATTTTTGTTATTTATTTCACAGTATTTGGTTTTCTTCCTTTGTATTTTTCTGATTTATTAGTTTTAGTGACTAATGACACGTGTTGTTCAGGGACGCGACACGGCCCACACGTGCTACGTCTTCGTCAGAAAACACCACCTCATCAAACTCCTTTGCTTGGGTTCTAAGCGCACTCCACTAACTCAAACCCTCTCTTAGAATAGTAATACAACAAGTAAGTGTAAAATTCCAAAAATAATAGGGGCACAGCACCAAGTCTTTTCTCGTTTTTTTTCTTTTCACATTTTCATTTATACTGGTATCATTACGACGACGACAGGTATGTAATTAACGCCACTCTATATAAATATTAAAATTCAGGTTCACACTGTGAAGCTTATTTTAGGAAAAAAACATTTCACACAAGCAATGTTTCTTTTTAGCAATAAAGGTGATAAACTAGTTCCACAATTTGTTTCATATGTAAGTTGAAAATGTTCATTTAAGAGTATTGTATTGGTGAGAGAAATTTGAATATTCCAGTTAAGTATCATATGTTTTGATTCTATGCACCAAAACTTACTTAAGACTTTTTTTACCTATTAACTGTATATTTTTAACGAGATAATTAAAAAAAGAGAAATAGACATTTGTATATAGATATGCTTCTTCTTCTTATTATTTAAATAGTGCAAGATAAATAAGAGTCCATTTTGTTTTAATATGAAAATTTCAAAACATTGACTAATTCGCGAACTTACCTGTTACCACTTGAAAAAATATATATAAATCAATAAAAAAGAGTGGTCATTGGTCCAAGGCATCCTTGAATAATGAATACACATGCGTTCTTTAATCTTTTTATAATTGGAACAAGAAAGAAATAGTTACATTCAGATCATACTTTTTGAGACCAAGATTATATATAGAGAGATAGATCAATTGGCTAAATACTTTTACACTGGGAATGGTTAGGAATAATTTTTACAAGTCATCACAGAATTAGTCATTATATAAAATTGAGAGCGCGCGTGCATTGCCACAGATTTAGTAGTGTGATAATAAGTCTTATTAAATTCAGATCATTCTATTTGATTGGTGAATTGAATTGGTTTAGGTAGCACAATAATTAGTCAAATTTAAAACCTAGTGTGATCCATTTTACATAAACCCATTCTAAACCAAATTGAATCATACTAAATCAATACTAGTTTTATGAACTAAACTGGTTGTACAAAACTTTTTTAAAGACAGTTCCGTTAATAGAAATTAAACTTTGCTTCTTGAGAATAGATATCTGCAATATCAACCATTAAACCCTAAACTTAATATCCAAATCGATTCAAGTCAAGACTAATAACATCATCAGTAATAATAAACAAAATTACCATATTCATATATTTTCTTAATATTTCTGCCTCTCTTTTATATAATTTTAAAATTTCTCTTGTGTTAATATTACATCATTTTATTTTATCTATCATTGAATGTACACATTTAACGAGTATAAATATCATTTTTCTAATAAATAATGCAGGTATAATAACTGCCTGCTTACGCGTTTAAACAAGCAAAGGTTCATCACAGAATTGAATTGGTCCACACCCTCCTTTGTTTTACCTTAAAAGCAAAAGTACCAAAACTTCATCTTTCAAAACGTAAAGAAATATCTACAGCTTGTTCCTTGAGTTTAATTGCCATGACGTTGCTTTGTATTTCGTTTTTGTAACTTATTGTCATTCTTAAAAAGCAATAATAAAGAACAATTACTGCATGAACACGAAAGTAGAAAAGATAGTAAATAAAAAATTCACGATGATATAAAATATTTTTCTTAAAATTTTTGTTTTCTTATAACATTATAATTTTAATATATATTTAAATATTTTATTAGCTAAACTTAATATAGACTTTACTTATATTCAAATTACTCGTAAATTACTCAATACTAGTATTACTGACTCATTTATTGTACTTTTTAAACCTTTTTATTCAAATAATTTAAAATTATAAATTTATTCTACATAAAATAAAAATTTAACTTACTAACAAGATGTCAATATCGGATTTAGTTAATATATAACTGAAATCTTTAAATATGTATATTGACTGAATTTTAATTTTTTTTATCATGTCTACGTGTATGTGAAAACTCTGATATGACAGATTCTACCTGTTTTTGTGATTTCCTTGTCATGAAAGAGATTAATATTTAACTGTTAATATTAACGATACCATATTATCATTAATGAATTATAATAGTAAGTGTTTTATTTACCCTTACAATAATTGTTATTATTATTATTATTATTATTATATATGAAATTATGCATCATTTAATTCCTTTTTCTTATTGTTTAAATATTAAAAGATTTAACAAATTAATTTGAATAATATATAACTTGCAGTAATATAAATTAATATATGTGCACATGTGAGTGTATTTATGTATGTTATTCAACCTAGAAAATAGGTTATTGCATAAAAGATAATTAGGTCCACACTATATATATATATATAGTTATAGCTGAGATGAAGGATCCCTCCTTTCAACGAAGTAGCAGGAAGTACCACGCCGGTTCCCGATTCGCGAACAAGACGGATTACACATTCATGCTTTTGATTCCTCCGGCCACAAGAGTATAGACAAGATGCATGGACCTGCAGCAGCAAAACTCTATGAAAATGGAACCTTAATTAACTCTCTGGGATGGTGGATCATCCTTTACAAAGTTGGATTGTTGCCACATGGAGTCGCTGATAAGATTATGCAAAAAGGGTAAATCGATTATTCACTATTTGGGTTTATGCTAGCTTCGGGTAATAATAGTAAGTTGTAACCCATCTTTTTCCCTTGTGATATGAAACTTGTGCCTTATGGAAGTTCTGATCATGCTGGAAAGGAATAAGTCTCACGTAGAATGGTCAGTGATAAAATAGTTAAGAAGGACGATTCATGCGTGATCAGGTGCAAGAAAATATATTAGAAATTTTGATTGAAGCTAGGTCTCCATATATAGCTCAAGTATACCACATGTAGAGCAAGAGAGCACACAAGTGAACAATTTCACAACAGCTGGTTCAACTTAGTCCCTGGTACGCATTCTTTTATGCATATTTTGACAACTTGGTTTAATATATAACAATAACGTCGTTTCCTACATATGTAGGAAGACCTATACCTTGCTTGAACATATATATATATTAATTATGGTTTAGAATTTTTGGCTCTGGCTTTAAAATATCGATCATTGTTCTTTATTTTGTATAATTCGGAGGAGGTTCAGAACTGATTCACAGTTAAGGGCAAGAGGTAAGGGTAGATGTTATCAACTAGCACTAATGATTTATTAACGCTACTACGATGGTTTTTTATGATGGCATGCCCTAGCTTGTGGGCTGTCATCACTGGAAGTGTGATTAGAAATTCAGCTGGGGCCAATAGAGTCCAAGGTTTCTCAGGTGCTATGGATGTAGGCAATAAATTGAATATATTCTGCTATCAGAGCTTTCAACTTTGGACAATATTGCTAGTGATCAATGTGCAATTTATTCAGGTTATGGATGATCCATACTCTTTTTAGACCTTTGTGTGCAACCTCATTTGGACAAAAAATTATATGTTCACATTTTTCATTTATTACTTTTTAGTTTTCACTTTCTAAATTTTATTCAAGATGAATTTGGATTGAAGTCGGCATTATTATTATGTTTTTGTTTTTATCAACGGAATAATAATTTAAGAAGTCACAACTTTTCTTTTGGGGTATGCTATGGGTACTTTTTAGTTGACAATTGAAGATTAATTCTTCAAACAAATCATCAAATTGAGTTTTGTCTGTTTAATAAAGTCTTTTTTATATATAAATCAATGGTCAATATAATCAAAAGATTTGATTATTACTAATTATTATAAATTTTGTTAGTAACTACAATAATTTGTGAAAAAATAAAAAATTGAAAATGCTAATAATTTTACTCATAAACAGATTACTAATTTTATTTTACTATAAAAACGAACTGTTTTATAGCATAGCTTTGTTTTGTTTGTTTATTGGAAAGGATCTCAACTCCCCAGTGAGAGTATTGCTCAATTGCCACAGGGAGCATTGTGTCTTTTACACCCGAGATCAATAAAATATGTTGCTTTATTGTTGGTTGGTTAAAATATTTTGCTATATGTAAGCAGGGGAATTGCAAATGTTATGTTTCTACGTCCGAGGAGGCATTGAAAACACGTTTGTGTATGATAAGGATCCTACCCTACATTATATGGGGCAATTTAATGATTTATTACTACAATTGTTTGTCCAGAGGAAATGTTTAATGATAATGATTGCTCTCATTTTGTTTCTCTATTGGTAGAGATTTAAATCAACAAGAAGGCTCGTATATAGAGATCTCAAATGCTTTGATTGAAACTTCATACACACAGCAACTCAAGATTTTTAAATTTTCTATAACATTAAATACTATTCATAATACAATATATGATTAAAGAATCAGCAATAATATATTTTGTTAAAAAAATATAAAAAATATACTTTTTTCTCATCTATTTTAATGCAAATAAGTACTAATTAGCATTATTATTATTATTATTATTATTATTATTATTATTATTATTATTTTAACTAGTGCTCTAAGTACTAATTAGCAATATTCATAATGTATAATACTAGGATTACAAATAAGTTAGTATTGAATTTTATTTTTTCGCTTAGTCAGTGATGTTTTATTAGTAAATATCATATAGTGTTATAATTGTAGGTAATCGTAGTTAACTATAGAGTCATTTGAGTGATTGGCGTATTTGTAAGATTTTTGTAAAAGTTGTGTATTTTATTTTAGTTTCTGTTTATATAAATATATAGTTCATGATTTTTCATCTCTCTTTCTTTATCGTATCGAT